GTTACTTTGGGCGAGATACTTTACTTCTCAAAGCCGGTTTCCTCCTCTGGAGAAGAAGGTCAGAATCCCCCCCACCCCCACCCCCACCGCAGGCAGGTGCACCTATAATGAAGTGTCAATGAGATCATGTATTATCAGGTTCCTAGGAACTCCAGGCCAGCCCAGGGCCGGCCGGGGCTCCAGAAGACGCAGCCCGCTTCCAGAATGATCTTTGACCCCAGGGTCTCCTGGGAGTAAGGGAGTGTTCTTGGCAGAGAGAGGGGGATTGATTTCTGATAGTTCTGAGGGAGGGGCTGGGAGGTGACAAAACACGCCCGCTTTCCAATCTAAGATCAACAAATGGCTGGGTGCGTTCGTGATTAAGAAAACCAGCAGAAAAGGTCAGCAGAGAATGAAAACAAGGCAGGGAGACTATCAGGGTGGATGCGGTTGGCTGCTTTGGGTGGGGAGGGTGGGACCTTTTCTCTGAGGGAGAGACTGTCAGCTGAGCTCTGGATGACAGAAGGGGCCGGTCTTGCTAAGAGCCGGGAAGTCCTTCTAGGAGAGACCCCCCCCTAAAGCGAATGAGGCTTGGCCAGGAACCTAAAACAAGAGAAAGGAAGGAATCTTTCTCTGACCTGCTTCGAGTTTTCACAAACTATTTTAAAATCTCTTCTTCTTCTTCTTTTCTTCTAAGTTTATTTATTTTGAGAGAGCACGGCGGGCGGGGGCTGGGGGGCAGGGTCAGAGAGAGAGAATCCCAAGCAGGTTCTGCACGGTCAGTGCGGAGCCCAATGTGGGACTCGAACCCACGAACTGTGAGATCATGACCTGAGCCGAAGTTGGACGCTTAACCGACTGAGCCACTCAGGCGCCCCTAAAATCTCCTCTTTGTTTCAACTTGGAAAAAACAATAGAGGACCCGCCCCCACCAAGCTCCACAGCCAGCCAGGGGCTCGGTCCCAGGCCTTGGGGCTGCCTGGCTGAGGTGGGCTCTAGAGCTGACCTCAGTAGTGAGCAAGGATGCTGCGCACCCCAAGCAAACACCCCCAAACCCCTTCCAGGGGGCACTGGAGCAGGGGGCGGGGGGTGGAGGGGAGACAGGAGCCCCAGCCCCCCCTGCACGTCGCAGTGACAGGGAGGCTGCGTGAAAGGAGCGTGGGTATTTGGATAGAGGCTCCTGCTGGGAAAACAGGCAGAGACATGGAGAAGACAGCCACCCATGTGCCCCTGAGCTGGGCCCCCACCCCCTGGAGGTGGCACCCTGGGTCAGGGTGGCCTGGGGAGTGGATCAGCCAGTGGTGGGATAAAGCACTCTCAGTGTGAGGGCTCTATCTGAACGGACTGCCACTGTTGCTGCAATTATCCCTCACCAGCCCTCTCCCTAGGCTTCTTGCCTTGCCACACTCACCCTCCCCTCCCCGTCCGGGGGTGTGGCTCCTCCCCACCTAGGGGCACCCGGGGTTGATTCGCCAAGTGTCCTAGTAAAGAGTGTGGGAGGTAGGATGAGACATGGCCATGCAGCCAGAGAGGACTGGGTTCGAGTCCCGGCCCTGCCATTTATCAGCCAGTGACTCACACTCCAGTTTCAGTTTCTGCACCTGGAAAATGTAGGTGACAATCCCAAAGCCCCAGGGCGTTGAGGGAAGGGGGTGAGTGGGCACCACATGTGTTCGATATCAGGTGCTCGTGTTGGCTCCACGCATCCCCCCGGATTGTCCCTCTGTGATTCTGACCCCGGAGGGAACAGGAAGCACGAAGACTGTGTCCTTCTCTCTGCCTCCTACATCCGGGGCTGCTGGACAGACGCGGGCGGGGAACAGAAGCTGCCCGTGAGTCTCTCCTTCCTTTGTGCCTCTGACCCAATTCCGGGGATTGGAAATTGGCCCAGAGTGAGAACTCACGGGGTGGGGGGTGGGGAGTCTTGCTTTACTCTGGGGACTCGGTTCTGGCTGCCCTGAGACCCCATCTGTCCATCCCACCTCTTAGTCCAAAGTTCCATGACTTTACCAACCTAGGATTCATTCAGTCACTGATTCATTCATAACAAATGACTGTTGATCACCTGCTGTGACCACCACTAGGCGCTGAGCTCACACAGGGACAGCCCCGCTCCTACCCAGCCCCAGACTTGCCCACGCAACACCATCGTATTGCCCTGATAGCTACCTGCCACTCAAGGATGTTAACTCTGTCTCCTCTCAAGGGCAAATAAATCCTGAGGAATCTAAACAGACCAGACTAATCCCACCACCTCGAGCCACTCTGGCTTAGGGTGGCCAGGCTGCGGGGGAGGTCTGCCGGGTGGAGACGGTAAGGCTCATTGACAACAGACAGGAAGGGGACAGCGTGTTCCCTGCTGGCTGTCTTTGTGCCCAGGCATGAGGTCTGGAGCACCGCTGCACCCTGAGGCTGGGAGGAGACCCCCAGGGGACAAAGCAGCACAGCAAGGGTGGCAGGAGAGACACCGGGTACTGATGACATCACCAAGCCACTTAAGGAGCCACCTTCTCCCTGGACTTCTTGTCCTGTGAGATCATGAACGCCCCCATTGTTGAAGTCCATCCAGGCCTAGGAAGCCTCCTAACCGGTACAAATGGGACAGGGTGCCAGGGAGCGGAGCGGGAGTGGGGGAGGAGGGGGGCGAAGTCTGGGGTGGGATCCGGCTGTGGGACCTCAGACGTTGCCATCCCTGTTCTGAGCCTCAAATGGGGAAAATAGCGCCCATCCTTTGCCAACACTGATACTGTCAACTATCACAGGCGCCCTAACGGGCGAGCAGGGGGCACCAGCTCTTGAACAAATGAACGTCGTGTGTCAGGATCTAATGGACAGGGCTGCACAGTCGTGTAGAAGGCAGAGAGAAGAACTGGGTGGAAAGAAGGGGGACGTCGGTTAACTCCTTTCTCCTGATTTACCTTGATTCCAGTTTTGGTCATTACAGTGCAGCCAGATCAAGAGTAATACAGTTAACGTTAAAAAAATTTTTTTAATGTTTATTTTTGAGAGAGAGAGAGACAGACAGAGCGGGAGCAGGGAGGGACAGAGAGAGAGGGAGACACAGAATCTGAAGCAGGCTCCAGACTCTGAGCTGTCAGCACAGAGCCCGACGCGGGGCTCGAACTCACGAATCAGGAGATCATGACCTGAGCCAAAGTCAGACGCTTAACCGACTGAGCCACCCAGGCGCCCCTACAGTTAACATATAAAGGAGCATTGCTGTGGGCCAGGCACCGCACTAACCGCTTCATGTGAATTAATCTAGTTTATTACACTGACCTCTGGCCTCATCTTATTTTCTTCTTAATTTCAGCTATACTTCACATGCGAGGAAACCAGGATTCCTTAGGCAAGGTCACATGGCTAGTCGGTGGGATAACTGGAATTTGAACTCAGTGCCCATGGTTCTTAACTCCTGTTATCCTGCCTCACATGAGCCCCTGAGCTTCATGTAGAAGGAAAAGTGACGGGTCAGCTGTTTCACTTATGTGCGTCATGGGCTGGAGGACGGAGGTGGCTCCAGGGGCTCTGGCCCTGTTGCTGGTGACACAGCTAATCACATACAAATGACAGAGAGTGGATCCTTATAGGAAGAAGGCATCCATCCGTCCGTCCATCCATCCATCCATCCGTCCGTCCATCCCAAGTCAGTTTCCCCAGAAGCCGAGCCTGAGACAGGATTCTTGTGCAAGTGGGTGATTTACTGAGGGCGTGTTCTCAGGAGGAACCTGTAAGGCAACAAAGGAAGCAGGCCAGGCCGGTACAAAGCAAGGCAAAGAGGTGTTCCAGACGTCTGGCCTCAGCCTGATCCCACAAGGTGCTCTGGGGTGTGCAGCGTGCCACCCAGGTGGTCCTGCACAGAGACAGGGATGGGGCAGTGATGCTCTTCCGGTATCCCGCCCCCTAGTCACCGGTTAGAGGTGGGAGGGCAGGAGGGGTGGTAGCTCCCCGCAGACAGGTAGGAGGAGACAGATGTGAGCCCGTAGCAGCCAAACATCTGGCTTAGCCGGGGGTTGGGGGCCCGGGCCAGGAGGGGATGTGGATGAGGCACCAGTAACATCTGCCACCACCTCAATCCATCCGTGATGGGCTCATTGGTCCATAAGCATTAACTGAGCACCTATTATGTCCGGGAGCAGAGGAAACAAAGATGAGGAACATAGCCTCTGTCCTCCAGGATCTCCAGGCTGATTGGAGGGCTTCAGAAAACCCCAGATATTATATATCACTCAAGGTAAAGCTTGGTAAATTGCAGTGCTATGCGGGCTTGGAGGAGGGAGTGAGCCCTTGGAGCCGGAGGGGGGGGAGGGGAGGAGTCAGCCAGGGGACACTTCTGCCCCAGTAGCCCTTGGGCCCTGAGGAGCCTAGATTGGGACTGGCCACCTGGGGACAGCCAGTGAGGCGCTCTGCAGAGGTCCCAGCCTGCGCAAGCACCTGGAAGCAGGAAGGGGCGTGTGCATGCAGAGCTGGGCCTGGAGCAGGGCCAGGCCGCTTCAGCTGGCCCTCTGCTTGAGGGGGATTTGTGGAGCCCTTTCTCGGCCGCGGGCACTGCTTTGGGCACAGGGATGCAACTGAATCCAAGACAGTCGTGGGTCCTGCCCGCCAGGACCTCCCAGCCTAGTTGGGGAGAGTGACCTAGCGCCAGAGATTACAGGTCCCAACCTCCTCGACAGGCCCTATCCCGGGGTGGTGGGGGGCTTTGGGGTTTTAAGAAGTAGAGCCATGTGGGCAGAGAGATCAACACTGCCCTTTAGGCCACCCCAGGTGCAGCGGGGACAGTGAGAGGGGATGAGACTCGGGCAGGTGAGTGGCAATGGCAGGGGGGACCAGCCACACCATGGCCCCCAAGCCCCCACCCCCGACATGTGCTTCTTCAGCCCGAATGCCACCCCTAGGGGCCTCCTGGCCTCGGCTTTTCCTCCGATCTCAATCCATCCTCAGAAGAGATAGCTGCTGCGTATCCGGAAGACTTTGAAGGTCCGGGAGCAATATGGAGGGTGGGGCTATGCTGGGAACCTCCCAGGCTGGTGCAGGGGCTTAGATCGTAGGGAAGAGATGTCAGCATCTCACGGGACTTGCAGAGCTCAAGATGCTGAGGAACAGGGTAGGGGGCGCGGGCCGGCCGGGCAGGACCCTTCTAGCACATAGGGGTCTGGCCTCTGCAGTGGGGCCGCCAGTAGAAGTGCAGGCGTTTCTTGTAAGTGTCCAGGTTCTGCTTCAGGCAGAAGGCAATCTCCTTGTCGCAGGCGCACAGCTGCTGCTCACACCAGCTGCCCTTGTCCGCTGCGGGGTGGAGGACACGGGAGCTCAGTGTCTGTCCCTTCCCGAGGCAGAGCCCGGGCGTGGGGGTCTAGGGTCCCTGGAGGGAGTTTCTGGAGATGGCGCAGTGGTAGCTCAGCTCTAGAGTCCCTTTCCCAGCTGCTTCGACTAGCCGTCTGACCTTGGGCACGAACTGTGACCTCCCTGAGTGCCATCGCTCCTTTATTTATTCATCCCTTTCATGAACGATTGAGAGCCCATCCTGTGGCAAGGCCCTGGAGGGACCGGACTGACCAGAGTGGGCACCTGAGGTTCACACTCCTGTGGCGGCAGCAGGTATTAGAAGGCCACGGAAAGGAATGTCATATACTGTTCCTCTCGGAAGTAAGAAATGCTGCAGGGGCTACGGAATGGAAAAGTAGGGTGACCGGACTCAGCGTCAAGAGCCATGTGAGCTGAGATCGGAAGGGTCTGCTCCCCTGTGGAAAGCAGAGTGGGGGAGGGAGGGGGAGGGAGCAGTGTTCCAGGCAGATGGAACTGCACGGGCAGAGACCTTGGTACCTCAGTGTCATTATTTGTACGTGGGGGTGAGGGTAGTTACGAGCTGCCTTGGGGCTGTTGGGAGTATTAGATAAGGCAGAGCACTCAGGACACAGTAGGTGCTCAATAAATGTTGGCTATTGTTGTTGTTATTACTGAGACTTTAATGAACAGGGACTGGTGTGGTGAGCCCACGTGATTCCCAGCTGAGAGCTGCCACCTGTCTCCAGGCATGGACCCGGGGGGGGGGGGGGGACCCGAGGTCTAGTCCAGGCTCTGTCACCTGCAGCAGGGTGGCCCTGGGCCAACACCTCTTCACTCTGGTCTCACTTTCCTTGTATATAAAATGGAGATCATCAGGATGGCGCAGCTCCTGGCCGGGCTGCTCTGTTAACTTACAATTGCAACGTAAGTTGTAACAATGATACTAGTAGTGCACTGAGCATGCGCCTTGACAGCAGGCGTGTCCGAGGCTTATTCTGTCTGCTCTCATTTTAGTTCTTGAGTTAACTTTAGCTGCGAGAACACTGTTATCATCCCGAGTTTACAGAGGAGAATACTGATGTTCAGAAAGGTTAAGGGACCATCCTTAACCTGTGGTCACACAGCTGGTTGATGGCGGCTCCAAGCTGAGATCCGCCAGCCTTCCAAAGCCTGAAGGGGCCTTATTGGAACTCTCCATACTCCCACCCCCGTTCCTCCACAGCCCAGCCACTATCACTGGACACATGGGAAAAACAGAGAGGGCAAGCAACTTGTGCCTTGTCACACAGCACATGAAGGCAGTAAGTGCCAGAACTCCCTTCCTAAGCCTCTACCCCCAGCCCCGAGGCCCGGGCACTCACAGCACTGGATGTCCCCCTCGGAAAAGGTGTAGTCATAATTGTCTGTGTGGACGTGGCATCGGTGCTGCCTCAGGTGAGCATAGCAGCAGTCGTGTTTCTGACAGCACCTGGAGCGAGAGGACAGGAAGCGGGACAGGCGGGGACCACAGCTGCCCCAGGAGTAGAAACCCAGTGTCCCCCACCTAGGAAGAGTCAAGGCCTGCAGGCTGCAGTCGGTATGATCACTCGAGCAGACACCTACTGAGTGCTTTCTACGCACCAGGCGTTTGTTTTATCATGAATGTTCTCTTAATCTTCGCTACCACCCTATGACAGAGGCACTGGTACAGTCCCCATTTCACAGATGAAGAAACAGACCCAGGGAGGTCAAGCCACATGCCCAAGGTCACACAGCCTGTACGTGGTGGATCAGGGAAGTGACCCCAGGGCCTGGAAGGCTCTCATCTCTCCTAGTAGATTCCTGGGATTATTGTGAAGATTGAATGAGATAATGGCACAAAGAGGTAGGCATTAAAATAACAAAACCAGCATGTGATGGTGACGGCAGTGGGGGCGGGGAGAGCGTGTGGTGGGCATTATAACTAGATCAGGAGTTGTGGGTACAAGGAGGGGCCTTACAGAGACTCTGAGAACCAGCTAGAAAGCAAGTTCCAGGGAGGCTGGAACTATACCCGGCTGTAGCACACGGCATAGACCGAATTCACAGAATGCATACAAGGGGGCGCAGGGGAGGGGAGGGCCCGGGGGTGGGGCCAGGACAGGACTGCCACTCGCAGCCCTGCCTGGGAAGGGATTACCAGTCTGAGGCATCTTTGGGTTGACCTTTGCCACCAGGTCCACAATGACAGCCATAGGGCCAATAGGAGAAGATGGGGTTTTTTCTGGTCACTTGCTGGACCATCTTGCTCAGGTTCAAGATCCCGCCGTGGGTTGGAATCACACCTGTGAAAGCGCCCAGTAACAGATGTCAGAGGAGGCCTGTGAGACACACGCCTGGCACTTTACTCTGCTGGACCAAACCAGTGAGCTTGGATAAGAAAATGACAACAACCACTACTAGGTTTATTAAAAATATAGTGATAGCGGGGCGCCTGGGGGGCTCAGTGGTTTAGCGTCCGACTCTTGGTTTCGGCTCAGGTCATGATCTTGCAGTTTGTGGGTTGGAGCCATGAGTGGGGCTCCGCACTGACCGTGCAGAGCCTGGTTGGGATTCTCTCTCTCCCTCTCCCTCTCTCTCCGCCCCTCCCCTGCTTGTGCTCTCCCTCTCTCTCAAAATAAATGAATAAACTTAATCTATCTATCTATATATATATTAAATATGGTGATAGAGAGGGCTCATTATGAGTCTTTTCATGTAGTAATTTATTGACTCTGTTCAACCCATGAGATAAATACTGTTTTCTTTTTCAATTAACTAAACTTTTCGTTTGGTATATTCCAGAAAAGTTGCAGAGTTACAGAGAGTCCTTATACACGGCTCACCTAGTTTCCTCTGATGTTATTACCAGCTTGCATAATAATGGTGTATTTAGGGAACTAAGAAACTGACATGGGTACAACGAGAACTGCATTTAATGCCCATTTTATAGATGAGCAGATTGAGGCTTGGTGCCCTGCTCCAGGTCACAGTGGCCAGTGCGCGAAGAAGCCAGGATTGACACCCAAGGCAGCTTGGTCCTAGTCACTGCCTCTGCACTGACTCCCCATTCTGTAACAGGAAGGCTCAACCTTCTCCCCGCACCCACCCCTGCCCTGTGCATCCCTTAGAGAAAACCGCACATTAAAGCCCTGGAGAGGCGCACCTGGGGAGGCCGTGTGATTTAGATATCAATGATCTTCATGGATATTTTTCATTTTAGTTATAATTGCTACTGGTTAGAATTGATCGTGAAAGGATTTTATTTTATTGGAGGAGAGGAATGCATCATGTTGAGATAGGAATAAAGTGCATTAAGCCGATGAATTCAGGGGAGACCCGGGGTGGGGGGGACAGACAAGATAAGGAGACTGAGGTGTACATGTGTGTGGCCTGGAGAATCGTTCAGGAAGACAGATGGAGCTGAGTCTCAGGGGGACTGGGCTGGGCGCGCCCCTTCGAGTGACCTCATTGTGGACTTCCACCCGATTCCCCGCTAAAGGGTATTATCATGAAAGCTCTATGTGCAAATGAAGTAAACAATAAAGCACGGTGTGAGCCCCAAATTGGAAGAGGTAGAGGTGGGAAGAGGGGGTTTGGGAGGGGCTGGTGCAGCAGGTCAAGAGTGAGATCCCAAACGGGTTGCCTTGGCTTGTGGCCACGGTGACTGGTGGGTGTCTGTTACGTCCAGGCCTACTGTGTCCCCAGTGTGTCCCCTCCATGTGCAGGAATCCACCTTGCCACTCCTGTCTGACGTGGTGGCTCCAGCGGTACCAATGTTTAAGAGAAACCTTGCTGAGCTAATGACTGACCCCAGGCCCGCTGGAATCGCGGACGCTGTGCAAAGGAACTTGGAGGCAAACCATTGCAAGGTGAGTGGCCACCCACCTTGTGGGCCTGAATTCAGAATCTCGCCTTTCTGGTGTGCCTTGTCCCTCTTTCTGCCTTAAGTCTGACCCTTCCCACGTCAGCTTAGCAATACACAAATAAACTCACTCCCGAATGATGCACCTCTCCCTTGCCAGGCCAGCAATCCGTTTAGCTTTGATTCAGGAAGCTTTCGGATGGTAGTCTTATTGCTTATAATTTTACGGTGAGGCGGACCCAGCCCTGAGACATCGAGAGACCCAATTTGTGGTTATGGGAGCTTTGGTGAACTGGCTTAGCTCTCCTGGTAGCTCTTTCTATCCTTACCCGCCGCCGAGAGGGATGGATCCTCTCCCCCAAAGAGCGAGTATGGGCAACACCTCATCAGGCATTCCCTGTGTGTTAAGCTATTGCTTGCTTGCTGTTACTTAACACTCACTAAACACTTTGGATCCATTTTCTCATTAGAGACCTAACAACCTTACGAAGAAGGTGCTATGATGTCCGTTTTGCAGATGAGGACATAGAGGGGTGAGGTGACTTGGCCAAGGTCATACAGGAGACAGTGGGCCAGCATTTGAATGCAGGTTCATCTGTACATTTTATCTCTACAGTGTATTGCTTCTTTATGTCTGAGAGATGAGTTTCTGTAGCTTGATTGCAAGTTTCCTAACAGTTTTCGCTGTAACCCTGGAGATGTGTTCCTCTAAAAAATGTGGGAGTCCCAGAAGAACAGAAAACCACATTTTAAAGTACAAATCCTTGGGGCGCCTGGGTGGCTTAGTCGGTTGAGCGTCCGACTTTCGCTTAGGTCATGATCTCGCGGTTCGTGGGTTCGAGCCCCGCATCGGGCTCTGTGCTGACTGACAGCTCCGAGCCTGGAGCCTGTTTCAGAGTCTGTGACTCCCTCTCTCTCTGACCCTCCCCTGCTCACACACTCTCTCTCTCTCTCTCCTAGAAATAAATAAAAAACATTTAAAAAAATTAAAGTACAAATCCTTTCTAGCACTACATACTTTGAGCTGGATCGAGAAATAAAAACCCCCAATTTGCTGGCAACCACATTTTTACATTTGCTCTGCTGAAGATCGAATGGAACCCCCCCCCCCCCCGCACCTGCTACTACAGTCAACAGAGCCCTCTTCCCAGGTTCAAGGGAGACAATGAACTTGAAAGAAAGGTAGAGTGCTGTGCATAAGTGAAACATTGTTATTAGCTGGTCAAAGTGACAAAGGGGAGCAGGGTGGGGGAGGGGGGAGATCCCTTTCTGTAAATTGTGTTTAAAGTGCCCCAGGTGTCCGCTCAGCTGGTCCTGGTGTCTGAGTCTCTAGCTGTCCATCCTCACGGCTGACCAGAGGCACGCTGCCCAGCGTTGACAGCCCAGAGCTCCCTGGCCGAAGCCAGCATTCTAGGGACCCGGCCGCTGCTGCTGGCTCCTGGTGGGGACAGAAGGGTTGGGACTGTGGGGACCGGGACAGTGGGGATCAGAGCAGAGGACCAGTCTAGGAAAGAGCTATAGCCTCGTCACATCCCACCTTCCCTTCCCAGCTGTGAGTCCTGCCCCACTCACCAGCAAACACCAGCAGGGTGCACAGCAGGGAAGGTTCCATGGTCCCAGCAGAGAGAAGTGGAAGCAGCTACTGGAAGTCCCCTTCCACGCAGGCAGCCACTTAAATCAGGGTGCCCCCACCCAGCTGTGCCCACCCCTGGCCCTCCCAGCTCTGGCTCTGGCGTCTGCTCTGTGTGTTTCCTGTTTCTGGTCATGGGGAATTTTAATTTTATTTTTAATATCTGTGTTTTTTTAAAAAAAATATTTGGATTGCAAAAGGAACACATTCAGTGTAGGAGATTTGAAAATCGACAGTAAAATAATTAAAATGACTTATGAATCTGTTAAGCACCATTCACTTTTTTTGACTGAAATGCATTTGACGTAAGTCATTGTGTAAATTTAAGGTGTGCAACATGTTGAGTTGATACCCTTATATATTATGCTATGATTGCCAGTGTAGCAATAGTTAGTACCTCTATCTAGCACCTCATATGATTGCAATTTCTTTTTAGTGGTTGGAATAAAGGTCTAATGTCTTAGCAAGTTTGATGCTTACGATGCAATATTGTTGTCTGTATTCACTAGCCTGTGCATCAGATCCCAGGACTTACTATTTGTTGCGTACCTGTAAACAATATCTGTCCTGCTTTCACTCTTCCCTGTCCCCTGGTGACCGCCATTTTATTCTGTGTTTATGAGTTTGGCTTTTTTAAACTCCCCATATAAGTAAGATTATACAGTATTTGTCCTTCTCTGTCTCACTTTTCTCCCTTAGCATGATGTCCTCAAGGTCCGTTTGTATGGTCACAAATGGAGGGATGGCTTTCTGTTCATGGCTAAATAATATTCCATTTTAACACATCTACCACATTTTCCTTATCTATTTATCCACGGAGAGGGACTCGGGTTGTTTCCACCACTAATATTCTAGCGTAAGCTCTTCTGGTTTCTATTGCTGTATACACTTTTCTGTACTTTTCACTGACCAAATTAGAAAGATGTTACAAGCAACTCAGGCAATAAGAGACGTTGGCGAGGATGCAGAGAAAGAGGATCTCTTTTGCACTGCTGGCGGGAATGCAAACTGGTGCAGCTGCTCTGGAAAACAGTATGGAGGTTCCTCAAAAAATTAAAAATAGAACTACCCTACTACCCAGCAATTGCACTTGTAAGTATTTATCCAAGGAATACAGGTGTGCTCTTTCAAAGGGGCACATGCACCCCCAGTGTTTATAGCAGCATTATCAACAATAGCCAAAGTTTTGGAAGAGCCCAAATGTCCATCGACAGATGAATGGATAAAGAAGATGTGATATATATACAATGGAGTATTACTCGGCAATCAAAAAGAATGAAATCTTGCCATTTGCAACTATGTGGATGGAACTAGAGGGTATCATGCTAAGTGAAATTAGTCAGTCAGAGAAAGACAAATATCATAGGACTTCACTCATATGAGGACTTTAAGATACAAAACAGGTGAACATAAGGGAAGGGAAGCAAAAATAATATAAAAACAGGGAGGGAGATAAAAACATAAGAGACTCTTAAATATGGAGAGCAAACAGAGGGTTACTGGAGGGGGGAGGGGGTGGGCTAAATGGGTAAGGGGCATTAAGGAATCTACTCTTGAAATCATTGTTGCACTATATGCTAACTAACTTGGATATAAATTTAAAAAATAATAAAAAATAAAAAGGTTACAAGTAACACTTTGTAGTCTGTCTTTTCACTTACCCATATAACTTGAACATATTTCTATGTCATTAAATATTTTTCCGCACTAACAGTTTTCAAGGCGACCTCACATTCTTTTATACATCTATGCTGTTTATGTAATGAATCCCCTTTTGATGGACATGTAGGTTGCTTCCAATCAAGTGTTTACTATTATAGTCCATACGGTGGTACAACGAAAAAAATCCTTGTGGCTAACTCTCAGTTTGTGTCCAACATTATGTCTGTAGGATCCATTCCTTACGTGGACTCAAGAGTCAAAGCACATGCACGATTTGAAGGCAACTGATGTGTGTTGACCACTTTCTCTGCACGTCTGCCCCAGTTTGCATATGAGATCCCTACTGAGGTAGGTGGTGTGGACCCAGCCTAAGCTGGGTGGAGGTGTTGGTGACAGGACCCACAGGCATTATAGAGACGGTCTCTCACAGACGCTCCACCAGCAACCTTCCAAGATGCAACGGAGGGTCCATGGGTAGCAGAAATTGGTTTTCTCCCATGCCCGTTAGATGGCTGTCCGAAGACATAGAACACAGAAGGACCTCTTTGCTGCCAGTTCGCCCAAAAGTATGCCACCAAAGGTCACCCCTGGGAGTTCTTTTTTTTTTTTTTTTTAATATTTTATTTATTTCTAGGAGAGAGAGAGAGACAGCGTGAGCAGGGAAGGGTCAGAGAGAGAGGGAGTCACAGACTGAAACAGGCTCCAGGCTCTGAGCTGGCAGTCAGCACAGAGCCCGACGCGGGGCTCGAACCCACGAACCGCAAGATCATGACCTAAGTGAAAGTCGGACGCTTAACCGACTAAGCCACCCAGGTGCCCCTCACCTCTGGGAGTTCTTTCTCTCGAATCTAGTTTTTCCTTTGTTCCTTGACTCGGGCACCGACTGACCACCTCATCTGGGAGAAAATAGTCTGCATGCAAAATAATTAGCCAGCCAGCAGGCTGCATGTCTCTGGCATATTCTTTGACACGCCTCCCTCGTGTGTGCTGTATGGTCACTCCCTTAGACTCTTCCCAACGTGGGACCTCCTTGTACCGTCTTCCAGATCTGGCCTCCTGCTGGGGCACGTGGGTAACCCCCTGCCCCCCGAGTCCCAGTTTCCCCAGATTTGGTTATCATTTGGGCAGGAGCAAAAGTAGCCAGGACCACAGGACCTTTGTTGATTCCAGAAGGCTTTTTCCCTAACAGGAGAGAAGAGATGCTATTGATGCTATGAAGAGGCCCCAGAAGCGGCTGTACCAGACACCTCCTGAGGCCCCAGGGCACACCCAAAAAGCTAGGTTTGGAGCCAGAGGGACCTGCTTCAAACTCCGGCTACTTCTCTTACCACCTGTGGGGCCCTGGGCCAATCACTCCCCTCCATGGGCCTAGCTTTCCTCATTTGTAAATAGGGACAATATGGGGACAACAGTCCCTCCCTCCTGTGATTGCTATGGGGTTTGGCAGCCACATGCATTCAGCACACTGTACCAAGTCTCATTCACGGAGAGTCACCACAGTGATCTCAGTGAGGGCTGCACTGCATTCGCAGAGGAGGAGAGAGCGGGAGGTAGTGTTCAAACCCAGGCCCTCTGGGTTAAGGCTGGTCTCTCTGGTGCTCCCTGTCCTTCTTTGCCTGGAGTAAGTTGCTCAGCAACACGTCTTCGGCTTCCTCAAGTGTAAAATGGGGCAAGGACAGTGCCTACATCATAGACCTGTCGCAGGGATCTTTAAACAACATGGCGGGTCAACAGGGCTTGGTCGGCAGCTAGAGGTCAACAGACGGTAGGTATGATTATCCCCATCACCATCATCTTCGTTGGCGCCATCACTGCTGATAAGGACGAGAAAATATCTAGACTTTCCATCTGTATTGTCAAATCTGCCACAGTCCTGTCTACTATTCCTTCCGTAGGAGTGGGTTCTTAAACATACAGAATATAGTTATCGCAAGTGTTTTAATGGCTTTCTCTACTAAGTCTATCATTGGGTCATTTCTGGGTCTGTGTCTGTTGATTGCTTTGTTCTTGATGATGACTTTTAGGTCACCTCTGCCCATTATTATAGATAACACTGGCGTGATAAAGCCTCGTCTATGTTTAAAGGGCAGTTTCTTGAAAGTAGATTTCCAGAAGTGAAATTGCTGGGTTGGAACAGAGAAGGGCTTTAAGCTCCTTCCACTCTGTGAGGTCTGTAGGAGTTTAGAAACTCTCTGGACTCTGCCTCCATCAGCACATATGAGTTCCCGTTAGGACTGGTCGCTCCTCGGGACTCGTCAGCAAGTCTGTGTTCCTTTACTTGCCTGGAAATGGCAAGAAAAACACTTGATGTTGGGCCACAATCCATCCAGATCTCCAGGTGGGGGGTGCAAAGGAGCAGGAGGGGCTTAGATGCTGGAGGGCAAATTCTGTTAGGAATAGTTACCACAGGCTAAGCCTCTACCCCGTGTCAGACATTGGGTTGTTGTCTCTCTTAATTTTTGCAACCACACCATGAAGAAGATACTGCTTATTCCCATTTTATTTATTTTTTAAATGTTTATTTCTTTTGAGGTGGGGAGGGACAGAGAGAGAGGGAAAGAGAGAGAATCCCAAGCAGGCTCCTCACTGTCAGCACAGAGCCTGACTCAGAGCTGGATCCCACAAACCATGAGATCATGACCTGAACCGAAATCAAGAGTTGGACGCTTAACCGACTGAGCCACCCAGGTGCCCCCTGCTATTCCTATCTTACAGGTGAGGAAAGTGGGGGCTCAGAGAGGTTAGAAACTTGCCCAGGGTCACACAGCAGGTACACGGCAGAATTTGGGTTTGAACACAGATGTGCCAGAGCCACACTTACTCTGTGCTGGGCACTGCTCTAAGTCATTCACATATCGTAGTTAAGGTAGGTCCTGCCCTGACTCCCATGGTACAGATGAGTCACTGCGCCCAGAGGCTTGGCCGTACTTTCTTGCCCTCTGAACACAGATGGAAGTGGAAATGAGGAGAGCTAGCAGAGTCTGGAAAGCTGATGCCCAAACCTCCTTGCAGAAGAGAAGAAAGTAGACCCCCATCTCCTAAGAGTTACCCCCGTGGGGTTGAGCACATCCTTTCAGCCAGTGATAGAGTCCTCCTCTCCACCCGTCCCTCCCTGCAAAGCTCCATTCACTGGGATGGTCCCATGGTCTGGATTCCATGCACAGGGACCTGCAGAGGGTATTAGGAGGCTCAGAGTCCCTAGAGGTTTGCAGCCGAGGGTGAAGTAGCGGAGTTGGCTTCCCTAGAGGCTCTGAGCTTTGTCTTTGATACTCTGCCCAGGCAGGGGGTGAGGAGGGAGAGATGGAGATTCCTTCATGAGA